GAGCATCGGAAAGGGTGGTATGCGCCGGAGTAGGTTGGTCGGGAGTAAAAGTGGTGCGCAGGGGAGACGAGGGCTGGCTGGTTCCCTCTCCCAGACGAGATCGCATGATTGGCGACAGCGACCTGGGCGCCTCCTCTTCTGCCACCATCTGCATCTTGTCCGACGTTTATCGAGATTGGTATGTGGACGGTCTCAGTTCATATTACGATACTAAAAGCTGCAGGTTGTAGAAATTGTCGTCACCGGTGCACGCGGGTGCTGGGGAAAGTTGGAAAGGAGAAGGTGGCCGGCGACTGAAACACGGCGATTGTTGGCAAGAAGCAAAGAGGCGGACTGGACTGTACAAGACTGTCGGCGGATACAAGGGAAGGAGCGTAAGAGAGTTTCGAGAAACCCAGGAGAAGCCGAGAGTGCCTGCTCTTTCACTTCAATAATCTTGAATTGGACTGGAAATGGAAATCATCAAACTCCCGCGCCTTCCAAGATTCCCGTTCCCCCTCAACCCGCGACGCCGTCATCTCCGCCGCCTTGGCTACTCATACCACCCTGTCTGCAATATTCTAGAAGCTTTCATCGTCTGAGAGAAGCCCTCCTTCGTTATATTAAAGAAGGTTCCAGTGTGTGAATGCCCAATATAGACGAAGCACAAGTTGTCACTACCAAAACACCTGCTGGGACCCCGTCATTGCCGATTTCCTGAATGGACCATTTTCGAGACAGAAGCCTGGATGAACATCCAAAGAACGACACCAACGAGACTTGGAATTTACACAGAATGGACAAGATTGATTGACTTGTTCAAATCACACTTTTCAAACGCCCGCTACCATGAAATAAGCCGTATGTAGAAAGATGCTGCCAACAAAATAACAATCCTCAAAACACCATGTCTAGTCCTGGCGTTGGCGCTTGTAGTTTCCACCTTGTCTCGGTTGACTGCCGTATGCGCGACGAGCACCTTGCTTCTTGTCCATCTTCATGCTTGATCCCAACTGCATGTCCACACGCGGTGGTGTGTTGAAGCCGAAACTCTTGGCCACCTTGACGAGGTCGAGTTCGTTGACGTTGAAGACTGAGCGCAGAGAGTGCGATGCATACGCCTGGAGATATGAGCGGTAACCATCCTTGGCCGNACTGTAAAAACTCAATGTTAGCACTATACTCATCGCCATCAGAAAACAGATAGATCTTACCTTGTTCAAGTAGTAGTTTTTGCCAATCAGCATCTCCAGCTGACTTTGAATGTTCAGCACCTTCTTCTCGGGCATCTCGAACTCGGTCAAGGGCACACGAGCCTCCTCGAGGTGCTTCAAGAAGCCAACTTCGTTGGGCTGCAAGAACATCAAACTCTTGCCCTTGGTGTTGGCGCCTCTGGCGGTACGACCGACACGGTGAATGTAATCTCTTGGGTCATCCGGAGGATCGAATTGCACAATCCAGTCAACGGCAGGAATATCGAGCCCACGGGCTGCAACATCGGTACAGATCAGAGTGCCCTGCTTGGCATTGCAGAATTCGAAGAAAGTGTTTGTGCGCTTCTGTTGCTTTTGCTTGCCGTGGAGATCCAGGACGGGCAAGTCGATGTAGTTGAGCAGTTCGGCGTAGTACTTGACACAGTTGCATGACGAGAAGAAGACGATAATCTTCTTCTTGGGGTGTTTCTTGAGGAAGGTAAACAGCAGACGGAAACGCATGTCGGGCTGGCAGACAATGAAGCCCTGCTCCAAGCCCTCGACGGTACTGTGCTCTTTCCTGTGGTCGACGTTGATGTAGAGAGGACCAGGTCGCAGCGAGATTCTGGCAAGATCCTCGACCTTTGTTGTCTGGGTGGCTGAGAAAAGCATTGTCTGTCTCTCGTCCTTGGGCAAAATCTTGATGATCTGGCGCATTTCGTCTTCGAAACCGACTTCGAGAATACGATCGGCTTCATCGATGATTAGCGCCTTGATGTTCTTGTAGACAAAGCCCTGGGTGTTTTGCAGGTGATCGAGCAGACGTCCGGGTGTAGCGATGAGCAAGTTGACACCCTTGACCAGCTTCTCGGCCTCGGCGCGGCGGTTGGCTCCTCCAATGACGATACCGAATGTTTGCGAGTGGTGTGCCATGAGTTCGCGGGCGACACCGAAGATCTGAAGGGCGAGTTCGCGAGTGGGAGAGACGACGATGACACCGGTTCCTGCGCGAACGGGTTAGTAAAGGTATACTGGTAGCATGAAGCATGGGATCATCTGCTTACCGTTTCTGGGCTTGAACTTGAGCGAGTGCAGCATCTCAATGGCGGGAATCAGGAAAGCCAGAGTCTTGCCCGAACCAGTCTTTGCGGCACCCAGCACATCCTTTCCGGCAAGGAGAGGCGGGATACCTCTTGCTTGGATCTCGGTCATGTTCTCAAACTTCATGTCGGCGAGCGCCTTGAGCGTCTTGTCCGAGAGGTTGATGTCGGTGAACTTTTCGGGCAGCGCATCCTGTCCAGGCAGCGAGACCCCAAGCGCCGAGGGCAGATCTGAAGGCTCGCCAATGTCCTGCTTCTCCTCGTCTGCATCATCCATGTTCTCGTCTGCCTCGTCCTCGTCGTCAGAGGCTGCCTCATCGCTGACGTTGGCAACTGCAGACTCTTCCGCGGCCTCGCGCAACTCTTCGTTCAACTCCTCCTCCGTCTCGACATCTTTTGCTCTTGCTTCTGCAGTCTTGGTCTTCTTGCGCGGCTTCACTTCAGCGTGCTGGGCGACGACAGTTTCTTTGGCGACGACGGGGGCGGGTACATCGGCAGATTTGGCAGCGCCGTGCTTTCTCTTTCTCTTCTTGGATGCGAGCTCCGGGTTCGACATGTTGATGTGTTGTGGAGGGGATGACAGACGACAGGCAGAAAGTCGACGGCCCCAGCAAACTTTGGACAGGCAGATCTTCGAACAAAAAATTAAGGTTATCGCACGAGTGATGCCAAGCCAGGATTATCTTATCTGATCTGATGAGATCTTTCTCTTCCTCCTAACCATCGTCCCTCGATGATACAGTTCAGTGGCAGATAGATTGGCTGGATATGATGACTCGCAACTTCATCGTCCCTGACTTTAGTCGCAGTCTCACAGCCCACCGTATAGCAGCGTATGTGGAGACATGCCCTCGTCCAGCCCCTCTCTCCACTGCAAGCCGAGTACCGCTTTGTTCAATCTCCGAACACGAGCAGGCTCGAAATCAAACCATGTCTCCGTATTCTACTCGCTTGCAATCTTTCATCCTTCTCTCCTTTCCAACATGACTGCATGATGAAAATCGGTTTCTAGATTCCGCGTTCAAAGGCTCTCTCCTGGAAGCTGTTGGCAATCTGGAAGTGGTCTAACGGCCAACTGCCCGTTGCTGGGAAGATTAGATATCAGGCCGCGACAACAAGGGCATCATATGTCGCCCTGTACAACAACAATTCCATTGCATAGACCTACCGGGTTTCAGTACTTCTATATAGTCTTACATGAGGCCGCGTATTGCGAGAACGAGGCTGCTCGGCACCGGTCAAGCTTGCTCTGGTGCATGGCACGCCTCGTTTGGCACGAAGCGAATGGTGCTGTTGAAGCGGCATCGCTGTACACATACCGCTCACAGACAAACGACTGCAATATGACTGCCAATCCTCTCCAAGCCCTTTGCACTCATTCCGATCTGTATACCAAGGTCGGCGCAGTTTTGTATTGGCACGCGTACACGAATACGCTGGTCCGGCCAAGGAGATCCCTATCCGTACTATGGAGCTTGGCGTCCCAGACCGTGTGGGCATGCGACAACTCTGCTGTTGATCTTCTTGCGAGCTGCTGGGAAATGATGTTTTCATGCCGGGCAGGTGAAGCAACGGCCAAACCGAATTGCAAGGAGAGGCAAGGAGAGGACAGAATCGCAAAAGAAGGAGAGCTCAAGAGACTTTAAGCAGTGCTGTCGCTGTACAATGGCCGTTTACGGGACTGCAAGCCCGTTGTCTATTTTGAGGCCGGCCGGGGGATTATTTAACCAGCTTCTGAATGATGCGGTGGCTTTGAGAGGCCGGCATGCTCGGAAGTCGTCTTTTGGGTGAGACCTGGAGACATGAACCAAATCGCCGTGCATGAAATCGAGCACTGCAGAGACGCGAATTATTGCGATGGACGAGCAGCAGCTGCCCTGACGGCGTTTCAAATGGTTTCCCCAGCTTTGTCGATGCCGCGTAATAAACAGCAGTGTGGTGGCGCACTGATCGCCAAACGGGAAGAGTGGATTGCAGCGCCGTCTCAGGACAAGACCCCTGATTCCACTCGCTCGCACTGCACAGCCCCCTTTGTCAGATACATAGCAAAACACGCAGGAGCAAAGCACGCCGAATCAGATCTCTACCACTCATTCGACTTTGGCCTTGTCTGCCGGAGCGTGCAAGTCTGTGACGGCGGCAAGCAAACGATCAGCCTGTCCGACACGGGAAGAGGAAAAGGATCGCAGCGGTCGTTGACATCAGCTGGCGTGGCTTTGGCGCTAAGTTGCGCTTGTTCGTCGGGTCACGCACGTCTTCGGTCCTCTTTCTTGTCGAGGGTCGTGTTTCTCGCCTTTCCGTTGCTGGATTCCTGCTGGATTCCCACTCTCGTTGCCCTCTGATCGAACGAACCGCCCGTCGCCGCTGCACTTGCTGCACCTGCTGCACCCGCCGTTCATCACCACTTCCCACTTTCCTTGCCTACATCTCCAACTCTTTTCCCTTTCTCCAGCCTCCCCGCGCGCCTTCCTCTTTTTCCCATCCACGCCGTCAATCGTCACTCGCTCATCAGTCACCCGACGTCAAGACTTGACTCTCCTCTCTGGGCCACTCTACATTCCAACCACACTTTTGCCATCAAACACACACCCCTTCCTGACCACGCACCTCCCCACTCGTTCTCGTCGCTCTGAATCGCGACATCGACTGCAGCGTTGCACGCCTGTCACCAAAGCATCAGCATCATCGGCTGCATTTATTAATCGGTATATTCTATTGCTCGCCCAGCATGCGTCCTTCAAGGTCGCCCCTAGGCTTCCTAATAGCCCTCTTCGCCGCTCTCATTCCTATGACCCAGGCCTCTGGCATCAACAATGAACGCGTTATCTCGTCCTCGTCGCTCAGCACCTGCATGTCAAACTCCAACTTTTCGGCCACTCTGTTCAATGTCGCCTTCACACCCGACAACCGTACTCTTACCTTCAACGTCGTCGGTATTACGACAATCTCTGGAAATGTCACCATCGACATGGTCGTCAGCGCTTACGGCTTGTCCATCTTTAAGAAAACACTGGACCCCTGTGAGGAAGGATGGGCCGGTCTGTGCCCCATGAACGAGGGCCAGATCGATCTGGACTCCAACATTGTACTGCCCGCCGATGCAGTCAGCCAGATTCCTGGTAAGAAGCCATGGGCGTCTTCGTCCTCAAACTTTCCACTGACACATGCTNNAGGCATCGCATACACCATCCCTGACCTCGACGCCAAAGTCCAAGTCTACGTCAACAGCACCGACACTGGTAGAGCCACTGCCTGCGTGCAAGCCGAACTCACAAATGGCAAGACTGTCGACCAGAAGGGTGTCTCATGGGCGGTCGCCGTTATTGCCGGCCTCGCTCTGTTCGTTTCTGCCATCACATCGGGTCTCGGACACTCCAACACTGCTGCTCACGTCGCTGCCAACACTCTTGCTCTCTTCGGTTACTTCCAGGCACAGTCTCTGGTCGGCATGACTGCTGTCCCTCTCCCTCCCATCGTCGCCTCATGGACACAGAACTTCCAGTGGAGCATGGGTATCATCCGCGTCGGCTTCATTCAAGACATTGCTACCTGGTACCAGCGCTCTACTGGAGGCACCCCCAGCACGGTCCTGTCTGAGTTGTCGACCGAGTCAGTCGAAGTGCAAAAGCGTTCCGTCCATGTCGCCGAGCGTCTCCTCGCCCGTGGTGCCATGAAGCTGCACCAGCTTCTCCCCAGAGCAGCAACCACCACCGACGCCACCACCAAGACTATCATCCTCCGTGGTATCGAGCGTGTTGGTTTCCGTTCCAAGATTGAGTTGACCAACATCTTCCTTACTGGATACATCTTCCTGCTTATCTTTGTCGTCTTTGTCGTTCTCGGTGTCATCATTTTCAAGTTCATCTGCGAGGGTCTCGTCAAGATGGGCAAGATGAAGGGCGACAAGTTCCAGGACTTCCGCAATGGCTGGACCACTGTTCTCAAGGGCATCCTCTTCCGTCTGGTCCTGATTGGCTTCCCTCAAATGGTTGTCCTCTGTTTCTGGGAATTCACCAAGCGTGATTCGGCTGCCGAAGTCGTCCTTGCCGTCTTTACTGTCTTCACCATGATTGGCATACTCGCCTGGGCTTCCTCCAAGGTCATCCGTCTTGCCCGTCGCTCCGTCTCGATGCACAAGAACCCTGCATACATCCTCTACTCGGACCCCGTCTCGCTTAACAAGTGGGGTTTCCTCTACGTCCAGTTCAAGGCCACCGCCTACTACTTCATTGTCCCCGTTTTGGCTTATCTCCTGCTCAAGGGCATGTTTGTCGCTTTAGGCCAGGACAACGGCACACTGCAGGCCATCGCCTTCCTCATCATCGAGGCCGTCTTCTTCATCGTCGTCTGTGTCATGACCCCGTACATGGACAAGAAGACCAACGCCTTCAACATTTTCATCTGCTTCTTCAACTTCCTCAACTCCATTTTCCTGCTTTTCTTCACCGGCATCTTCTCTCTGCCTGGTCTGGTCAATGGTGTCATGGGTATCCTCTTCTTCCTTTTCAACGCCATCTTCTCTCTTATTCTTCTCATCTCCATCATTGTCGCCTCGGCATTCGCCATCTTCTCCAAGAACCCCGACACTAGATATCAGCCCATGCGCGACGACCGTGGCTCGTTCATCAAGTCTCAGACTCAACTCAACACTGAGCTTGATGCACTGGGTGCTACAGCTCGCGGTGAAGGCAAGGGTGGCTGGAAGGGTGCTCGCATTGAAGATGATGAGGATGGCTGGTCTGGTAGTTCCACTTCCGAGCCTCGCATCGGTGGCAACAGCTCTTCCATGGCCGGTAGATACGGCGAGATTCCTCGCTCTCCTCACGACCCTAGCATCTCGAGCTTCCCTTCGGATGGTGGTCTGCCCAGACACAACCCTCCCACATATCTCGACGAGAAGACCGGTTTCGCAACACCGGATGTGCGCAGCAACCACAGCCCAAGCCCAGCACGCGCGCCGCAGGTGCAACAAACAGGCAGAGCGAGCCCGTGGCAGCGCGGAGCCGGCTATGAATAAAGGCAGCAGTACATTTGATTATTGCGGGTCATGACTTAATCTCCTTATTGAACTCTTTTTTTCTCCTCATCGCTCACCCATATTTTCTCCCTCCATTGTTGCATGCGGCTTTCTAATGGAAAATGAAAGCCGAAAACATGTATCAACAACAAGCTATTTTCCAAAAAGACTTCACCCTCAATGAGAAGACACAACACTTACAAAGTGGCGAAGGACTTTTATTTCCTACCGTTCAGGCTTGTTCCTGTGCGACATCCTTGTTTCTTCTTTTTTCTTTGGTTATCAATGGGGATCAGGAATACCATCAGGGTTTGCAGAAATACCCTCGGGGAGTGGCGTTGAGGAGCCGTCTTTGCCTCAAGTTAAAGACCGTCATGGTTTTCTAGTTGTCTTTTTGTTACATTTTCCTATCTACTTTGACCTCTCGCCTCTCTTGCTTCTGGCACTGCAAAGGTCGTAGAAGAGAAGAGCAGAGTCGACAAATACCAGTCTTCTTGATTTCTACACATGAACCTTTTGAATCCTGTGCGTTTCTGGATGCAAGTTTGAACATTTCGAGTGTGATGGTCAGGGCAGTGTTGAGACCCGTTTCAAAAGATCTGCAGGCACTACTACTATTTTTTGCACGATCTGTCTGGTTCACAGAGACATGCCATTGACAATATAATGGAACGGTGTAAACGTAGTGTGGGGAGATCTTTGGGATACGAGCCTTTGATGCCGTATATCGTAGATAGAGGATAGAAATGCTTGATTTTCTCTTCCAAGTATTTGTTTAATGTTGGAAGGTGAGTTGGTGGTGCATTCGCTCAAGCAGGCATGTCCGAGGAAGTGGATGAATAACATCAGAATTAGTCGTTATGCCCGCCAGCTTACTACCAGATGCTATAATCTTCATGGAGATATGTATTCGGGCTCTTAAGATTGTACCTGTCCATTCAAACATCTGTATATCACTATGTAGCTGCCACAACCCCATCATCGAAAGCAAATAATGCTTGCTATCGGTATCACCCTGCTCATATCACATCTTCTTGGCACCGCTTTCGAGGCTACGTTGACAACAGAATTTTCGCTGTGAAGCTCGAGATGGCAACAAAGAAGTTCAAGAAGGCAAAAGCGATGGGAAACACGATGGCATCAAAGAGGGGGTTCCCCACCATCTGCCGCGCCGTTCCGCGACCTGCTTCTCGCGCATGAACATGCATGCAATGCAATCATAGATACGCTCGTCACATTTATTGATGCCCAAAAAGGCTTTCTTATGGTGTCTCCGAGGGAGTGTGTTACAGTTTCTTTTCATCGAGGTTATCCTAACAGTTTCTTTGTCACTGAATTGCATGGGGATAGTGGATGGATGAGTCTCTTGTCGCGTTTGTAGGGATATCGATGCGTTTGGTGAAGAATGTGATGAGAGGGATTTTGCCAGGTCAAGCAGTCTCGAGGGTGGTTTGCTGTGAGGGTTGGCGAGTGACCGATCACTCTATTGCAGCGTATCAGATGCATACACGACTTTTGTTGTTTCCCAGCTCAAGTCTTTTTTCGAGTGCAGAAATGCCACGAAAGCAATTACTGTGTCTCGAAAAGCAGCGATACGAAGATTGACACAATTTAGATGTTTTGTGCAGCAATCTTGCCACGTCTTTTTTTCCCCTGATATGAGGCCCGAGTATCTCATCGGATAGTAGCCGTCTTCTTGTGGTGTGCATTAGTTTGCTGCATCTGAGGTGTCGTTGGTAACCATTGCCGAGTCTGGTTACACAAGTTGTTTGCCCTTGTCTCTTGTGCAAGCGATATTGATCAGGCAGGTACGAATGTTTTCGTTATCTTGTTACCTCTGACGCGAGGGCACAGAATGAGGTGCTGCGTGCGAGACGTGGCATGTTAACAGCACCCTTGACGTGTCAATATCATGCACTGGAGATCCCGGGAGAGAGCAAGCGGTTTGGTGATCTTGCTTAGCCGCTTGAGAGGGTTTGGCGAGACATTTAGGTGCATATATATATATGCAAAGGGGGTTGCTAAGGTGAGGAGATTATCACCGCTGTATTCTTGGTTTGTTCATTTTCTTCTCTTTGCTTGTAGTCTTGCTTGTATACTGTGGTTTTCTTATATATACCGACATCAGGTTTTGTCTTTTTCTTTATGGCAAGTGGTCTCGCGGGTACTGCTGGCACGACTTGTGGTTTCTACACCTCCCAGACCAACGCACTTATATCCCCTACCAAACCCCTCTGACACAAAACATCAACATCTACGATTTGAGAGTCAAGACATCTACCAGATTCCACTTTCTCAGCAAACATCAACCATGTCCAACGACCTCTCCTCCATTCTCGCCCGCCACAACCTCAAAGGCATAAACGTGGCCAATTTCTCCGCTGCTGGAAACCCGCAACGTTCTTCTTCTTCGTCTTCTTCTTCTTCTTCTCAACATCAACCTTATCAATATCCACTCCGCCCAGTACCGATGCCTCAACAGCAATATCGATATCCACTTCACCAGGCTCCTGTTTCGCAACAGAGAACGCGATATGATTGGTCAGGGGCTCAAGGTGCAACAGCAGCACCAAAGCCATCATTTGCTTGGCCTGCGCCGCCGCAACCGCAGTATACGATTGATCCTAGGCATTATAGTTATAATATCTGGGGCAAGGCGCCGGTTTTTTCATTAGATGGGGAAGATGAGGACGAGACAGAAGAAGACGATGTTGTGGGAGAGGAAGATGGTGTTGATGGTGAGTGAATCTACTTTGTACCGGTGGGATTGGGGCTGATATCATGCAGAAGTAGGAGAGAGTGTAGATGCGGAGTTTGGTCAAGATGCCTTCAAAGAAGTTGAAGTGGAGGACGTGCCTTTGGCTAGTGAGGATATACCGCCTGAGGGATCGGGTTTGGGCGGTAGTGCCGAATTAACAGAGGAGAAGTCGATTGACTCGAGTCCTCCATCTGATGAGCCATTCCCTGAGACTATACAGGAAGGAGCCCGCAACACTATACCGGCAGAACCCGATTCTCCCACCGAGGAAGCTATAGCAACGACGCCTGAAGAAACTTCATCTGGAGCTCCTTCAGAAGAACACGTCACAGAAGAAGCAGTACAAGAAGCTGCGTCTGATGCAATCCAGTTAACGGAACCAGATTATCAAGATTCTGGAGAGGATATAGAGGCTGTCAATCATGCGGCAGAGGAGCCGACTGTTCCTGAAAAACCTGGAACTGGCGAGCTTGTCTCAGAACCGGAACCCATACAGCAAGAGCAGGTCGATATACCTCAACAACCAGGCTACAACGCGGAAGACAATACTTCAGATGATATAAAGGAAGTTGTCGAAACTTTGGATGCAGTCTCTGATAATACTCCGTCTATAGATGTCTCCAGTGGGGACATGTCCGAAGAAAGTTCTCCCGCTCAAGATGTACCAGACGTGGAACAAGCCGGCACAGTCGAGGCCGACATCACGCCTCCTGAACCTCAGATTGGTGCCCCTGTCGCCGAGGAACCCACAGCAAGACTGCCCACCACAGATGATTCTCCTCTTCCTGACCCCAACGAGATCGTCCAAGTCATCGATGTAGAAAATGATGGCCCTACAGACGACACAGCAGCAATAGTCGTTCTCGACGTTGCTCCGTCAAACACTGTAGAAAACACGATTATCCCTCCCCCACCATCACCACCACCACCACCACCTCCACACGTCACAATCGCCGAACCACCTAAACCCTCCAAGCTCACCAAGAAAAAGCCTGCCTCCAGCAAATCCAGCAAATCTCGAGGCAGCCACGATAAACCAAGAGACAAGTCTGCAGACAAGCCTATAGAGATTATACAACTCAAAGAAGGCAGGAGTAAGACTATTGTCAAGGCAAAGAGTAGAGGTAAGAAGAGTAAAAGTAAGCCGAGAAAAGGAGAGGTGGATGAAGGAAAGGAAATATTGGTTCCTCCGCCGCCACCACCGATGATTGGCGATGTGCCGCCACCTGCACCGAGTCCACCACCGCGTGGGTGTGTTATAGAGGTTGTCGGGGATGAAGAGGTGCAAGTCTTTGACGTGGATGGTGGAAAGGAAGATGCTCAAGAGGTTGCTGGTGATTCAAGACCCATCACGGACGATGCAGGGTCTGGAATCGAGACTGCAGATATCGTTGTGGTCGAGTCGCCCCAGATTGACGATGAGTCTGTTGAGAAGGGAGCAAGCGACAACACTGTTGATCTTCCCACAGCACCGCTCGAAGCCGAAACTGAGACCATAGAAGTCACCGAAGCTGCAGAGGGGTCTGTCGTTGTTGTGCCTGAGGAGGAGGAGGAGGAGGGCGTAAATGCCGAGGTACCAACCGACAAGGTCGAAAATGATGCACCTGCCGACAATTCGCCACTACCAGACATGCACAATTTAGGGTCAACTACGAAAGAAGGAGACGGTGAGCAGATCACAGAGGGCCATGCTGAGAACATGATTCAGCTCACTCATGGGAATGCTCTTCCAAGCCAATCAGAATCGGATGTTCAAGCGGAAGCCTCTCTGAGCGACAGTTCTGCTAGGAAAGCAGATAGTGACCCTGAGGATAGACCTAATTCTCTTGAGATCATGCCAACAGAAGTCAAGGACCATGCCGAAGCTAAACAAGTAGCTGTGGGGGATCCAACAGATTCAGCTATGACACCTCCATCGACTGAAGATGAGAGCGCGAGCGAAACGCCAGCTTCACCCGAATCAAGTGACTCAGTCGTAGAGCCGAAGGAAGTTAATGAACACTCGGTTCCTGTATCCGACGATGTCACGGATCATGGCGCAGATGAAGCCGTGAGTACAGAACCATGTACAGAGCCGCCAGTTGCAGAAGAGAGCGCGCCCGAAGCTTCTCAGGACACGAACCCTTCCAAGATTGCTGCGGACGTGACAGATGTACCAGAGGAAGGTGTAACGTCAGACCATAGGAACTCATCTACTCCGGTGCAAGAATTACCACGTACTTCCCCGGAGCCTATTTCTGAG